ATCTATTTTGAAAATATCTTTTTACTTAAAAAATTATTATTATTTTTTTTTCTTCTTAGTCATGATACACAAGCAATATTTCGATCATATCGTTTTGGTCAAAAGAAACCTGTTTATATCTATCGATTTTTGGCTCATGGTACAATGGAAGAAAAAATCTATCAACGACAAGTTGTTAAACAATCATTATCTCAACGGTAAAAATTATAAATAAAATTTAAAAAAAAAAAAAAACTAAATAAATTTTCTCTTCTAGTGTTATTGATGATCATCAATTAGATCGTCATTTTACTGAAAATGATATAAAAGAATTATATAAATTTACACCTGAACAATTACCTGAATTACGTTCAATGACAAATACAGATTTTAATTATCCTATACCAAAAGATCATTTATTACTTGATCTTTTATATGAACATAATCATTGGATACATTCATATCATTCACATGATTCATTATTAGAAAATAAACTTGATGAAGGTCTTAGTGAAGAAGAACGACGTAGAGGTAGAATTAAACTTTTTATTTTGTTTTGTTTAATAATTCTTTTTAACTTTTTTAGCTCTTGAAGAATATGAAAATTTAAAACGTTTACCTGATCAACGTCAATTAGCTGCACAACGTTTACAACAACAACAACAATTAGCTTCAGCAGCTATGGTTCAAATTCCACATCTTCATCAAATGTATTTAGATTTTTTTCGATCTATGCCATCGGAAGATCCACGAACGTTTGATTATTCAAAACTTATTCAATATGCATTTGAACTTGGCCTTAGTCAACATTTAATTGATATACAAAATCCAAGTATAATTCTTAAAATTTGAAATTTTAATAAATTTTATTTAATTCATTTTAGCTACGTCAGATTCAACTCAAATTCAACAAACTACTACAGATACGAATGATATTGTTCTTTTAGAAAGTGATGATGATACAACTGCTAAAGCAGAGTAAATAATATACATATGAAATTTAGTTATTAGAAATCAAACATTTGTCGGATAGTGCATATAGTTTACATTTAAATTCTTTTTTTTTTTTTTTTTGTTTCTTTTGTTAATCTTTTTCCTGTATATATTTACAATAAAACAATTGTCTTTCGATGATTGACTTTTTCTTTTTTTTTTTTTTTTTGTCACATAGTCTCTTTGTTTGATAACTTTTTTCTTTTTTTGGTTTTTCTTTTTTTTTGATATGACATGTTTGAAAAAAAAAAAGAGATGAAAATTACAATAAAATTTGAACGTAAATCTTAGTAGATAAATCAAAATTTTGTTATGTATAGAAAAGTTTTTTGCTTTTCATTTTCATTCGGTTTATATTTAATGAAAAGACAAGATTGATGATAAAGAGTGTGGACTTTGACCTTTAAAAATAAAATAATTTCAGCTATTAATAAGAGAAGTTCTTCAATTGATAAATCGATTTTGTGACAAGATTATGTACATTGTGTAGATCAAAATGAGCTATGAATATCCTGAAAAGAGTTCGTACCGTTTATTTATTGCGGCGGAGATATTTTTAGATAAATAACGTGATAATAGAAAAACTAATTTTTGAATCTCGACTTCAAACTTCATACAGAAATAGATTTTAACCTTTTGATTGAGGGTGACGCAAATATTCGTCACAATAATTTCATGGTATATTGACACTTATAGAATCATAAGTGATATCAATTTTCGTGAAAGCATTTTTCAGA